AGGGTGGGGGGGAGTGGAAATGCACCCCCTAGCTCAGCACCAGATCCCCAGCTCAGGTCTGCCTGGTGCTGGTGGGTGGAGAGAGTACTCGCCAGTGGCTTTTGGACCCTCCACCCCCAGCTCAGAGCCAGGCTGAGATTCCCCCAGCCTCACCCCCTCCTCAGTCATCAACTAAGAGGTGGAAGCTGGGGAAGGTGCTTTCCCCCCACAGAATGGAAGACCCTAACTGTGGGTCCATTGTGGAGGGGGGGAGTGCCTTTCCACCGCCCCTTCCCCCCCTGCCTCTTGGAAGTGGACAGGTGAGGAGGGGGCAGGGTTGGGGCAATCCCAAATGGGCTCTCTGGACTGCAGGGGGGGAAGCAAAAAACCCCCTCTGCCAGGGCTTTTCCTCCCTTTGCTTTACTGACCAGGGCTAGGATGGACTGTTCCTCTCCCCATACCCCGTTAGGCTGACAGGCAGGAAGCAGGCTAGGGAGCTGAGGATTTACTGCCTCGGCTCTGACAGCTCTGGGGGCAGGGCCAGCCCTGCTTCACTGGAGCAGACAGCATAGCCCAGGGCCGCTAAGCCACCTGGGTTGCTGGGGGACTGTGAGTTAAGTTGAATCAGGAGGGGATCTGGGACAGAAGTTCCATAAACCAGTTTAACCTAAATCAGTTATGTTTGATACTTCATCCAGCCAGGTTTATCTTAAACTGTTTTGGGCCATTTTGAAAGCAGTTTACATGTACTGAACTTCTGTTCTGTTACCGGTTTCCAATCACTTAAACCAGTTTATGTGTAATTTCTGTCCCTAGCTATTTATGTTTGGATCTCTTTGAATATTCAGGGCTTATCTACAGGCACTGGGTAGCAGGTGCCATGGTCACTGTCTAGGCTAATGTTTGGATAAGAGCCACACAAGTTGGGAAATAAAAGAGCAAATACATTCTTGGATTGTCCAACATTTCTTTCTCCACTCTTGGGAGCCCTATGTGCTAGTGCTCTCTTGAATTTCTGTCATTTTTTATGATTTTTCTTTAAACCAGAACAGTGTCCATGTGCTTACACTGCAGTTTCTTATCAAATGTCCAGGTAATTACTTGTGTGTCTGTAAGGGAAGCCAATAGCAAACCAGGAGTAGTGAGTCGTGAAAAGCAATTTGTGGATAACTAAAGCCAGTGAATCCTGGGAATGGTATGAAGTCACAAAATAAATGGATGCTTTTAACTGAAACTCAGTAAAAAATATTTAGTGCATTGTTAGGAAATAATTCTTATGCTTCAGGCTCTGCCCTAATGGTGTGTAGTGTTTTAAAGTTCCCGCGATGGCAGTAGTCTTATCTCATGTAAACATTTACTCTGCCCATTGTCACAGGTCTGATTGTTTAATTTAAAGTACATTGCTTTGTTTCTGCTACTGTGTCAGCAGCATTGTGGCTACTTGGACACTTCACCCTAAAGAAGTCATTAGAAAATCGGAAACAGACACAACCTTAACCAAAAGTTTGTTCTGGCATTTCCTATTAAAATGTCTCAAGGAACCTGGGGTATTTAGGGAATGTAAAGACAGTTTTCCTCCTTGATTTTGTTCTTTAAAATGGAAAATCAAGATTTAGGGCCTAATCCAAAGCTCATTCAAATCAATGGAAGCCTGACTTTGGTGGATATTGGATCCAACCCATTTAGAGGGAAAAGGCAAACATCTCTGTCGTTCTTTTCAGGGTTACAGTAGGAAAAATCAATGCAATGTTGGGCTCCATGTGAAGAGACACTGAAGAGCCTGAAAGAACTATTTTCCCTCTATTAGACTCTGGTGAGAGCACATTTACCATTCAACATATACTGCTGGTACCCTTTCCCCAGGAAAATGGGCAGATTTAAATTTTCAGATACAAATTCCAAAAAATAAAATAAAATCAAATCCTAGCGTTAAGAGGATGATTTTGAGGAAAAAATTGAAAGAAGTATGTGCCATTTGGCTAAGTGACAAAACACTCTGCAATTATCTAAAAAGTATACATAGCCTGGAGAGAGAATTATCAAGGGCTGTAGTAGGATGAAAGAGAAGTAGGTGACTGTGTTAGTCTGAATTCAGGCAGAAAGCAGGGTAGAGGAATATTTTATAGACTAACCAAATCAGAGATGCATAAGCTTTCATGAGCAACAGCTCATTTCATCAGGTGGCTGTTACTTACAAAAGCTTATGCCTCTTTGCTTCATTCAGTGTGTAAAGGGCAGCTCTATCCTACCTTCTTAATTAGCAGGTGAAGAGAAATTTCCTGTAAGTGAAGTCTGCTAGATGTTGAAATAATCTCCAAAGATGAGGTGACAATCTTATCACTTGGTACACAGATCTAGAG